TCCTTTGCGCTTAACCCCGATTGAAATATGTTGAAAAGTGATACGAGAAGTAATAAGGTTATGGTTAAAGATTTGTAATGAGACTTCATTTCCTTTGAAACCGATTATATATTCACTTCGTTTTGTATAAGAGGAATATAAGAATTATGTTATCAGGATCTGTAAGAATGTCAATATGTTAGTAGAATAAGGTTATATGTTTATAAATGGGTTGATACTAAAGTAATTGTTGTTTTTTAAAATGTTCACAAAAAAAGTTTATATGATATTTACAAAATTCAATATTTTGTATTATATTTTATATTTTTTGGATAAAAAATTAATAAATGAATATATTTCATTTTTTTTCAATCTTTTATATACTTTTCATAAAAGAAAAGAGGATGGTGGGGGAGGGAGGGCTTATAAATTATTTTCTGAACACTTCTTAATTAGTTATAATTAAAAAAAAAATTCAGGAAAAATAATGTTTATAACAAATTAAGGATTATATTATTTCCTAAAAAAAAATTTTAATTTTTTTATATATATTTTTTTTATATTTATACTATATTAAAATATTAAATATAATTTAATTATTAAAAATATAATATATTATAAAATTTATATTTTTAAGAAAAATACTATAAAAATGTTATTATATCTCATTAATTTTAATAGTTATAAAAGAATACTATACACTGCCTTATTTTTTGTAAGTTTAGAGAAATTGATATTCAACAAATATAACTTCTTCTGAGTTTTTAATCAAAAAATATAAAAATTATACTTTTTGTTTGATGCTTGAAGAATAAACTCTTCATTTTTTTATTATATATTGTAAAGATTTTGTAAAATAAAGAAAAGGCCAATTTTTTATGACAATTAACAATTAAAATTTTTCGTGGCGTATTTTCCTCTATATTTTTTTTATAAAAAGAAAAATTCTTATTAATTAAATTTTAAAATGAAAACTTAATTTTTTACTTTAATTTAACGATTACTTTTGTGAGACAAAAATGACAAATAAGTTTTAAACAAAAATATTTAACTTTTAAAAATTAATTATAAAACAATAATAAAAAAATATTTATAAATTTTTTTTTAACAAAATATTATATTCTTATATAGACTCTTTAAGATATGTATTTATTTTTATATCTTATTAAAAATAAAATTTCCTTTTTTTTTCATTCTAAAAAGCAAAATTGAATCCGATTTTTTTTAAAATATAAATTATTTAAAACATTTTTTTTAATACGTAATTAATATACGTATAGAGGATTATTTTAAATGATAAAATATATTAATATAATTTTTTTATTATAATCAAAATCCATTATGAAACTAAAATTAGAGATGAATTGGGCGGGGTTTTTTTAATATTTATTTCCCTAAAATGAAAGCTTAAATTATTTATTTTCTATATATTATTATTTTTTAATTGAAAACAATTTACACAAAAATAAAATGCAATTTATGCTTTTAATTTAAAAAAAATTAACACTGCCTCTCAAAAATTAAATTAAGTTCACGAGATCATTTTTAAAGGAGAAATTTTACTAATACTTAATTCCAGGAAATTTAATTCTAAAAATTTATTTGGAACTTAAATAATTTGGTTTAAAAATGGTTTTTTTTTAAAAAAAAATTCAGACTTTAAGTCCGGACCATTTTATTTTTTTACCAGATCCAGTTTTAATTTTTCAAATACAGTTAAATTATAACTAGTTGAAAAAGGTCACAAAGTAAATCATTCAACATTCATTCCCTTCTCATATCTGCAATTTCTCTGAAATAATTTTATAAAATAAAGCCAAAATAATAGGATCATATAAATTTATATATTAGGACAAACTTTTATTTTTAATTTTAAAAAAAAATTGAAAATTTTTATAATTTTTATCATCTGAATATCATTATATAATGCATGGGAAAATGAATTGTATTTATTAGATATTCGACGAAATAAAGATATATAAAAAAAAATTACAAATTATTTCCCGTATTCGTTTCCTCTCTTGTAATTTTATTTTAATATAATCAATATTTTCACGGATAAATTATTACAAGTTATACAACTATTATAAGTCTATAAATTATAATTAAAATCTGATATTTTCAAAAAAGGTCCATAACATGTATAGGGGTAGCATTTCCATTTTAGTTCCCTTTTTGAAAATTAGAAGAAAAAAAGGTAATTATATCCTAAAAATGAGCTGAAATTTTATCTAAAATTTGCAAAAATAAATATAATTTAAGTCTTCTTAAGCCCATAAGTTCCGCCCCTCCCCTCATGTACTGATATATATAAATGTTAAAACATTACAGGAACTAAATGAACAGAGGTTTCTCATTTGGAGTTTAGATTTTGTAACATTTCAGAAATGGGGATAAATCTACAAAGTTCTATGTCGTTGCCATGAATAATTTTATCTAAGAGCATCAGCAACCTTTCACCTCCTAAACGTTAGGGTTCAATATTATAAAATATAAATAATATATTAAGTGTAAAATTTTTTGGAGCCTTTTTCTCTACACATTTCCTGTTTTTTTTTTAAAAAAAAAATTATTTTACGGGAAAATTAATAAATGAATATAATTCGTTTTAATTAGACTTATTAAGTAAATTGCCAAAATCTAGCCTAATTAATTATGGATAATAACTCAGATGCATTAATTAACATTTAGCTGATAATAAGATTTCCCCGAAAAAAAAGAGGAGGAGAAAAATATACTAAATTGAACTACAGTGGATATAGTTAAAATACTATTTACAATTTTTGCAAAAGCATTATAAAATAGTTTGCTAAAACTTTTTATAAATAATAACATAATAAAATTAAAACTGTAAATCAAAGGATTTTATAAATGATCTTAATTCATCGCTAAGTCATATATAGATAAATTGCGCATGCATAAAACTTAAAAAAAAATAATCAATAAAATAAACTCTCAGATAAATCTTTCATCTGATGTTTAGATCAGCTCAACTCAGGTTCCTCTTTTTAAGAGCTAACAGCCCATTTTATTGCTATACTAAATGACATAATAGAATAATAATAAATTTTAACAAAATCTGTCTATATATTTTCGTACGAATTATTTTTCAATATTTTTTAAAAAACGAATAATTCAATTATCGAATAGTATTATTATTCGTAGTGTATTTAAATATTCAATTCGCTTAACGACAAAGTAAATAATGCATTATTCAATTCGTTTTTGATAGGCCTATCAAACATGTTAAAATCAGAGTTTGAAAAATCTTCAAAATTTTTTTGTGCCCAAAATAGAAAATATCTGTTTTAAAAATCAAAATCACCATGATGAAAGATTTTTAGAAAAAACTTTTTTAATTTTAGGCAAAATTTTATCTAAAAAACTTCCCAAAAAAATTTTCTTTAATTTATTTGAGTAATTTTTATGAAAAAACTAATGTTATTTTTCGTATTTTATTCTCGTTATTTTTTTAATTTTTATAAAACTTGACTGTATTCTAAATGTTTTGTTATTAATTTGTAAAACTTTATAAATTATGAGGTTATTTTCAAAATATTTTGGACACAGTCTAAAATAAATCTCCACTTAAAAAATCCAAATCTTTGAAGATTTTTTCTATTTTAAAAGTGTATTTCAAACTTTGATTATAATGATTGTATATTGTGGGGGATTTTTTTTTCCTCGAAAGGTTTGTATATTTTAAATTAGTATTAATTGGTTTATTCAAAAATTGCATTTCACAATTTTTTCCATTATAGAGATGAGTACAAACGAATTAACAGTTTTTTTTCATATCCAGAATCACTTTTTAAATAATAATGGCGGATAGAGTAAATGCGTATAAATAGTAAACGCCCTTTTATACTTTGAGATAATCACGTCAGAATCATATATAAAAAATAAATATATATCCATTAAAAGATAAAGAGTACATTTGATTCATCAAACAACTCACTTTGTTGATCAATTTTTTCAAAAAAAGAGTATATATTTTAATTGTTTTTAATTTTTATCAAAAGTTTATATGTAATTGAAATGTTTCGTACACGATACAATATAATTCACTAATAATATTTTCTCACGGGACCAAAAAATTTAAAATGTAATTAAATTCATATTTGGGGGAGGAAACTTGTGAAGTAAATTCTTAGCCACATCATGTCTAAGTATTTATTGGACTATTTATGAGCAGCTAGTGCTTCTAAATATTCAATATTCGAGTAATTTAATATATTAAAATCGAATATTTTTTTGTTATTCGTATTCGAATAATATTTCTAAATGTTGATACTTTCATATATAAAATTTGCAGTTTATAGTTAATTTGCTAAATTTTTAAATTTTCTTTTAATTATCCTACTAATTTACTTACTATAATTTTTTGAAGTGATTTACTAGCTTAATATATCTAAACAAAAAAGCTTCCATCATAATTGTAGAATATATCTAACGAAATATTCAAATATTTGTATGATCCAGGGTCCTAACTAGTGTTGTTAAACAGCTCATTTTGAGCTGATTTTAAAAAACGGCTAAATTAATATTTTAGTCAAAAAATATTGCCTAAGCCTTGAGATCAAACCTTAGTTCCTTCTACAAACAAAATCTTCAGGTTCGCGTAATATTATTCTGATGAAATATTGAGTAGCAGTTTTTAAAAATCGGCTCAAAACGAGCCGTTTAACAACACTAGTCCTAACTCCCAAGTCCCAGCTCACTTAAGATATAATCGCATTGAGCATTGGGTAATAAAGAAAAAACAAAGTTCTATCTAAAATAAAGGTGCTAAGAATAGGGAGTTTATTTACATAATAATCATTCTTTATATTAAAATTTAGCTGTATAATTTTTTTTAAATAAACTATTTTATGGGTGCTCATTATTCTATTCCATAGATGGAACATCAAAATATTTTGAGAGAGGGGAAAAAAATCTTATTTAAAAAAAAGAAGCTTTTAATTCACACACATTTTATTTATTAATAAATAAAAGAATTTAAAACTACAGTCATAAATATTCATATCATAAATAAGCTCTTTTACAAATGATCTACGATAAACAGTATATAAACACAGTATATAAACACTATTTAAATTGAATCGAATCAAGATTATAAGGATAATATTTTTCTATACATTCTTTTTACCAATATTATTTTTAAAAACAAATTTCATCTATCCACTTCTCCAAACACAATGTCTAAGGTTCCTAATAATATTAATTAATAAAAAAAATAATATAAGTTATTGAAAATGTAAATTTCATGAGCTGTTTTTTTTAAACTTTTTTTAATGTTAGCTTTAAACTTTAATATATTGTCCTGATGTTTGTGGACAAAGAGGTAAGAGTTAACGTAAAGTAAAAGTTAAAAAAAAACAACTGTGGCTGTAAGAATTTATAAAGAAATAATAATGAAAATTCGATAATAAATAAAATGTTTCATCTACATCGGGCCTAATTTTTCAAGCCAGGCCAAGTCCGGCCCAAATTTTGTTTTATTTGTCCCGAAATGCCCGACCCGAAATAATAATTATTTATCCGCCCGTCCCGACCCAAATTTATTTTAATATATAAAAAAAATATTCTACAAATAAAAAATATTATCGCCTTGTTTCTTGCAAGAATTTTAAATATATTAATTTATTTGACAAAATGTAATGATATCATATTTAAAAATTTAAACTTGCAAAATGTTTTAAAAAATATTATTCCCGACCCAAAATCATTATTTTAAAATAGACCCGGCCCAGCCCGAAACCTGTTAGGGCCGTGATTTGCAGATCTCTAATATATATTATAAGACTTAGAAATAGTAATATACCTATAATGGCGACTATATCTGCCAAAAACAAATTCTTACCAATTTTATCGATGGCGGCCTGATATTTTGCGAGAGAAAGAAAAAATAAAATAATATAAGATGAAAAAGAATCGCAGCAAAAAAAAAGAAAATTTTTACCAAATGTGAAAACCCGGGAGCTTTAATTTTGCATCTGTAGGGTCGACTAGTACCATCAGACACGAGGTAAACACCGAATTCGCCCTTGGGTGTATATAAAAAAATATAAAACAGTCAAAAAGATTAGTTAATCTTAGTTAGACCTCATTTATAGTAAACGCGTTATGTGCCAACGTTGCGTAATTTAACAATTCTTCATAGCGTTAATGATTTTTAAAATGTATGTCGCAACATATGTTTTTCAAATTTTACCATAGCGTTATCATTATAACACTCCTATTGACTTGATTTTATAAATAACGCAACGCTTAAACATAACACGTTTAGTATAAATGAGGTCTTAAAACAAATATTTCCGGTCTCCACAGTGCTCAGATTACATACTTATTTGTAAACAGTTAGAAATAATATGACTTCGAATTTTTAAAAGGTTAGTTATCACGATGATTCGCCAAATGTTTAAAGAAGCGAAATACTTAAATTCTCATACCAATCATCGAAAATAACATAATTGCTTGATAATGGCTTAAAATGTCTGGACTATTACTATGTGATTTTTAGAAGGATCGTTCGGCACATTTCTAAAATTTAATACCTATGCAATTATAAAACCCTACTAATTTTTTTTAAACCGACCTACAGTATATCATAAATATAAATGGTTTTATACGCATAATTTTTGAGATGATCCTTTTTATAAAGGCAAATAGTCTGGCTCCAAAGAACAAATATTTTTCTAACTTAAATTTTTTAATTAAAATTATAAATTCATTGGAAACACTTTTAAAATAAATTTTATGCTTTATCATGTTTATAACTACAATTTAACGATTTTATTAAGTTATAATTATCATGTATAAATATTATTTTATTTGGATTTATAGGATATAATGATCTTTTAGAGTTCAGAGTGAGTCCAGCTATGGAAAATACATGTTCGCTGAGTACTCGTAGCTAGAACGCACAGAATCTTTCTAGCTAATATTGAAAGTTTAGGAAGATCCACTGCTCTTATCTTCCAAAAATTTAAGACATCTTTTATCTCTAAATTATAAAGCGAAAATAATGAATAACACTCTTTTTCTAGACTAGTTAAATAATCTTGTTGTTCCAGATTATTGTTATTACTAGATGAATGTTTGGTAGGACTTAAGATAATCGAATTCTGAAGCAACTTCCGTCGTTTCACAAGGTAGCGTGTTGACATAAAAATTTCCCCGGAGTAATATTTTTTTCCTTTAAATATTCATTTACTATGTTTATAGATTGAAAACGAGGATCCAAAAGTGCTCCTAACATCTAAGTAAAAAATAAAACAAAGAGAAATAATATTTTAAAAAACTAATTTATGTATTTTAAAATTGAAGATCGGTTATTGGAAATCTATGATCAAATTTATAAGCATATTTTTTTTAAGGGATGCTATGGGAGGACTATCATATTCTTTTTACAATTAGATGATTTTTAATTTCACTACGAAATAGTAAGGATAAATTTATAGTAAATCTTTTTTGGGCGGATTAAAATACAACCGGTTTTTTGAAGGTTTTAAGAAAATTTAAAAGTTTATGCACCAAGTCCCAATCGGAGTTAAATAATTTGAGATCCGGTTTCTCCATTCTATTTAATAGAATATTTATAGGATTTTTTTATTGCCACTCACACTTTCTAGCATTATTTAAATACTATGTCAACACGTAGGCACATTTAATTTTAAGGTTTTATGTTCTTTCTCATATGATTTTCGATTTGCACTATCATCATCAAACCCAAAACAATCCTCATAAAAAGGAACATTATTATCCAAATCTAAAATATTCTATGTAAATGATATCGATTCAAAACATTTCCTATTTTATTAACTTTTTTTATTCCGTCGACTGTCATTAGATTATGTAATCCATGCCCCAAACATATATGATGTTCATATTCTCCTAGACGAACACTTCTTTACATTGGGTCCTGCACCCTCTTGTTACAAATCAAATATTTTTATAGCAAATAATATTTATTAATTTTAAAAAAATAAACGTATTTTTTAATAATTTAAATATATTTAATATTATTTTTCTTCTAATTACAATTCATAAATAATATATAAAATAAATATTATTTTTAATAATAAAAAATATGTATCACGCCGCCACGCCGCCAAATTTTTACATTGGCGGTGGCGTGTTGAGTGCTGACACTTTTTGGCGGTGGCGTCGGCATGGTCAAAAATCACTAGCGGCCGCGTATTTGACCGGCGGTGCACAGGTCTAGGTATACCTCATCCAATAATTCCACTATTCTTAGGAGCCAGACTAATTGTCTACAGAATCCAGATCAAGACACCCTACCAATTTCTGTAGGGGGGGGAAGAAGGATTATCTCAAAATTATATGCAAATATAAAAAAAACCCTTATCAGAATTGGGTTTGGAAAAGGAGGGTGAGAAAAAACAAGCCATGTAACAAGGATTGATTTGGATATCCATGCTTTAGAACACGCATTCGACAAACTTTACATAAAAAATGCCTACAATACCATAATTGTAATTTTTTAATCCAAGGATGTTTAGAAATTTATCCAGATTATTTCAATTATATCCAGTCAAGTTACTGTTTACCATATTACGATATGGCAAACAAACTATTCTTTCAGCTCAAGGAATACAACAAGAGAATCCACTGGTCTCCCTTTATTCTGTTTAGCCATAAACAACATCATCCAAAATATAAAAACCAATTGTAATCTCGATCTCAATGTATAGTATTTAAATGATGCCACATTATCGGGTCTTATCAGTGAAATATTTAAAGCTGTAGATATCATCATTTTAAATTTTCAACAACTAAATTTGTCCGTAAATTATAAAAATTATATACTCAACTACAAATTTTTCCCCAATTATTAATCTCCCTACTCGTATGCTTAAAGATAAAATCTTCGTTCTCGGGTCACCAATAGGAGGATCTACAGGCATCCAAACATTTTAAAAACACAATTTGATTAATCTTTATAAAAGAAAATATGCTAAAGCATTGTTTTATTTAATTTTTCTAAAAATTTGTATTCCAAAAATATTTTGACCAAATAAAAAATCAATTTTGATATTTAACGTTACAATTTTAAAATTATTTAAAGATTCATGGCCAACATAGTGCCGTTAAATCATTCTATTTGAGCCAATTTTTAAAAACGGGTAACTTAATATTTTATTCAGAAAAATATTGCATAAGCCTGAAATTTCGCTAATGGATGTCCAAATCTATGTGCCATCTATGAGCATAACATCAGGATTGCGTTATATTTTTCTGAGTAAAATATTGAGTTTGCAGTTTTTAAAAATAAGCTCAAATCCTGCCGTTTAACAACATTACCGTTACCAGAGATTTTCAACCTTTTTTTAAAAAAATATTTAAAATATGGATTATAAATTTTATTCCTAAATATGTATTTTATTTTACAACTTATTATTTTAATTTATATGATATCTATTATAAAATTAATAAAAAACTTGTATGCATGAATAAAGTCAAATGTGGGATTTTTAATTAAAAATATTATAAAACATAATATAAAAGTATGGTTTATAATAATACTCAAAGATCGAGTATTTTATAAGGATTAAATTCAAATTAAAATAAATTTAACAAAAAAATAACTGTAAATATAACCTTGGGAGCTTCTATGGCTGTGTAAGTGGAACCAGGAGGTACTTGGAATCCTTCGGTAAATAGCTTAAAATGGTGTATCAAAGCTTCCATCGAATCCTTATTGAAATTTTGTATAACATATGGTGAAAAAAGGTTATAATAAAAAAATATTTGATAATAATCATAGATCAGCAGTAGTGAAGGTCAACGGTCCGGTCCTATCAGTCTTAGACCGGGACAGATCTTTTTATTTTTTACGGTCCAGACCGCGGTCCGCACCGGTCTTTTATTATTATTTAAGTTTGTTTTACAATTCAATTATAGTCCCAATAAAAAACATGAGTATGTGTTCACTGCAGTACCAAATTTAATGTATAGTCAGCAACAAGTAACAAAATAATTATAATTTTTTAAGCAATAAAATATTTTAGTTATTATTTATATAGTTCTATTTTTTCTTATGAAACTGTCTGAATAATTCATTGTCAAAATAACTTAACCTTATTCTTAATAAAATAATTAGGTACCTTAAGCAGACATCTGATAAAACATAAAATATATACTTCTAATGATGAAAATGAAAATATCTCAAAAACACAATCTACTCTTAATTTTAATATGCCCTCCACAAGCACAAAATCACTTTCTTCAATACCATTGGATAAATTTTATTGTTTATATAATACTCTTATATTTAATAAAATGATAAAACAAATTAAATTAGGTTAAAAAAATGTTTTTTAAACAAATAAAAAGACCGGTCTTTTTATTTAGGACTACGGTCTGGATCGATCTTTTCAACCTCAGACTGATTTTCCAGCCTTGCCCGATTTTTATTTTTTTATTTCAAATAATCTTAGCTGCATTTTGTAAATTGTAAATGGTGGAAATATCGTTAATATCATAAATTTGGGAATCTATTTTAAGAATATACATAATATTTTCCTATTTTAGGCGATTTTTTTTAAAAAAAACTCAATTTACAGGTTTAAACCGTTTGTTGTGTCTATATGCTAAAATAAAAATCGGTTAAAATTGGAAATCTTATCTATATCTCCTAAAAAAAATTTAAAGTAATAGTGAAAAATGTATTAATAGATTCTGGGGAAATAAACGATCGTATTTTGATAAAGCTTCCTATATAAACTTTGCCTTTTTCCTAATTTTTCTCTAAAATATATTTTTTATAAAAATTTAAATGGGAAAAAAACTTTCATTTCGGCCCTAGATGGTGGGCTTATTTTATTGTCGTCTACTTTGATTTCACCGGTCGGCATTTTATTGAGACACTGATGAATTATTCTTACGCTTTGTCGCATCTCTTCCATTCTACAAAGATACCTGATAATACCACGTGAAAAAACGAAATTATAAAGAAGAAATTACTAGGGTTGTAAACATTTCTAAAAAAATCAAACGCGTTAGCGTTCAATGTTCATTGGCAAAAATCGAACGAGTTCACGTTCGTTCAAAACTTGGCGAATAAATTTTTTTTTTTAATTTCATTTAATATAAATAATAAATATGCAATATATTTTTTAACACAATAATTAGCCATGTTTATAATTAATAGTTTTAAGTCAATAAAAAAAGTATTTTTATTATTAAGAAAAAATTTCTTATTAATTTTTAAAACTCAAATTGTGTTTAACAATTAAAATACAAACCCCTTGATAAAAACTTTGAAATAAAAAGAATCACACTAAGAATAAATAAATTCTAAAAGAATTTAACTATTTTATATCTATATATATAATATTTAATGATTGTAGCTTTTATCTAATAATCATAATAATTGTCATATATATGTATTTTTTTATGGTTTGATTATTAAAATTTTTGTAGAGTCATCATTGAATATTATATTTTTATAAATTTAATTTTTTTTATTATTAATAAATTTATATATTTTTTTAAATAATTTTGGAAAACTATATAAGCCCAAAAAAAAGGTAAGAAAATCATCATTTTTAATTTTTTTTAAATTAATTTTCTTTTTAATTATAAACTTTGTTTTAATTTTTGACATTTATTGATTTAATATTGTTGGTTGACGGTGAAATAAAATAAAAAGAATTACGAAAATATTCAAATTGAGAAAGTATAAAACCACAAATATATATATATATAATAAAAACAATACATAATAAAAACATGAAAATAATAAAATGCAACAATCTAAAATAAATTATTAGCAGGCCAACTTTTATATTATTACGGGGTTAATATGATTTCTTATTATATATATATATAAGTAATATTGTTTTATTTTCTTACGTCAAGGTTTTTTTATTCAATATCAAAAACCAAAAAATAATAACCAATAAAATACAAGAAACAAGGTTTTTATAGCTTTTTTTATCTTGATAAATACAGATTTATTAATAATAATTGATTAAACCTATATCATAAATATGACTACTATTTCCAGCTAAGCCACATACTAAAAAACACCTTAACCTTTGACACACTCCCACCGACATAAATTCCACGTCGAGCGTTTCCTGTGGTTTCCTCCCCCGAACCGACATTCAGCATCCTCGCTCCCAGAGGCTTCCCACCTCTGAGTCATTAAATATCATCTCTAACCAGCTACTCCATTTCCAGACTTCCCACATCACCAAGCTCTGCCTCTAGATGCCTCAGATCCGCCACCTCGTTATCTCTGTTACCACCTTTCCGACTGTCAGTGCCAATTCCCATCCGACGAGCATCGGGCTATCTCAAGTAGTAACCACGCTTAGACTTAGGGATCTGGTTAGACGTGATATTAAATGACTCCGAGGTGGGAAGCCTCTGGGAGGACGAGGATACTGAATGTCGGTTCAGAGATTGAGGAAACCACACGCCGGACGTGGGACTTTTGTCGGTGGAAGCGTGTCAAAGGTTGGAGTGTATTTAGTAAGTGGTTTGGCAGGGAATTGTAGTTACGTTTATAATATAAGTTTAATCCATTATTATTAATTGTGTATCATCAATTAGTATCATAAATAAAGAAATCAATTTTTATTATATAATCAGTAGCATAAATAAATAAATTATTAATAAATTTGTATTTATCAAGAAAAAAGGCTATAAAAACTTTGATTTTGTATTTTATTGATTATTATTTTTTGGTTTTTGATATTGAATAAAGAAAACTTTGACATAAGCAATTAAAACATTATTACGTATATATATTTAAGAAAACATATTAACCCCGTATTAATATAAAAACTATAACCCCCCCCCCCCACCCTTCCCTCCTCCAAAACAAAAACAAAAGAATAAGCTAGTTAAAAAATGGTTAATTATTACTATTCTCTACAATATTTAATCTTTCGTTGATTCCCTTCACAACTCTCAACTACTTAAATTATAGTTTATACAAGCTAAAAAAAATGTGACCAACTTCAAAAAATATTATATTTATCCGATTCATTTTGGAGTGCCTCTGTCTTGTATTAAGTCATAGGCTATTAAACTTATTCGAAAGGGGGAAATAAAATAAGACACAATATCAGTTTCTATATAAGGCCATAAATTATATACTGTTTATAGGCGTAGCCAGAGGGGGGCAAGGGAAAATTCCCCCCTTCAGAAATTTATCATTGTAAATATCATTTTTAGCTAATAAAAAATATCCCCCTTAGTCCTCCCCCCACTCCCTGACCCTCAAATATGTATGCATTTATCTTAAATAATAATTTGAAAGAAAGAATGTAAAAGTTGATTTTTTTTATAAAACTATTAATCATAATATATAGATTTTTGGGAAAATAAATTTATAAATATATAAAATGAACCAAAAATGTTTTTTAATAAATGGAATATAAGCCAAAAATAAGTCTTAAGACAGAAGTGAAATGTATTATAATTATTAATAATAGATCCATAAAATTACTAAATAATATAATATATCAAATATAATTTTTTATAAAGTGAGTAATTTTAATTTATTTATCTTAATAAAAGTAAAATATAATTATAAAACATTGAAAAAATTAAATCATAAATTAAAAAAATATTAAAGCACAATACAAACAGTGGAATATTATATGTCGTAGATTTACAGTATATCTAATTATCAAATGATAATCAAGTATTTTTTACCAATATAGCGAATTATATATTTTACAGAAAACTATAAAATATTGATAAGGACATCAGAAAATATCTTTTGAAGACATTGTGGGATGAATAATATGAAGATTAAATTTAAATATCATTTTTACTTAAAATAATTAAATGGCGTTAAATAATTGAATGCAAATTGTTGCTATATTTAATATCAAGAGCATTGATTAGTAAAATATGTTAAATTATTAACTGTAATATATTCTCTAACTGTCAAATATGTCTGTAAAAGTAAAAATTTACCTAGTATTTTATAACTAATTCTATATAATAGAGTAAAATCAACTATATGTCTACTTTTTATAAATTTTTTAATTCCCCCACCCCCTTTATGAAAATCCTGGCTACGCCTATGATACTGTTTGTATATTAATTAATACCGTATTCGTTATTTTAACAACAAAAGATTCTGAAAAATGATAGATAAATCTAATATTTAAGCATGTTTTTTAAACCTATCATAACAGTCGCCCTTGATTCCTACAGGAACGTCAAAATCAACTTGATCGTAAGCGTCGTAAGGTTGCGATTTACGCAAATCCCATTTTATTCCGCTCCCCCTCACCATCACGCCACTATGGAGTAAACAAAATATTAAGATTATTGCTAATATGTTTTATTACAATCATATTATATACAATATACATTTACCTATAAATTTTTTAAGGCTAGTAAAAAAAAATAATTTGATATCCATAACACGATATTTAAAAAAAATAACAAAATAGTTGGAAATCAATTTATTTTTTGATAGATCCCGATACACTAGTTTGAATATTTATTCTGCGCAATAGGGTGGAAAAAATACCTAAATCCCAAATTAAGGGCGTCTTGGGCCGTTACAACCCCGATATCGACGGTTCTCGATTTAAAAATTCTATTTTCGGTCAATAAATCGTCGACTTCGTCTATCCTTTGAGGGAACTGCATAACCCATTCGTATATGTCGTCTAGAAGACCCAATGGGAGGTCCTAAATGTGCGAATGATCATTATAATTTAAAAAAAATATAATAAAATCTTCAAGAAATAATGGTGCAAGTATTGTCACCCACCTCCCCTTTTTATAAGTGTAGCAAAAGTTTTTAACAGTTTGGAATCCCAAAAACCTGGAACCGTAATTATAACCAGCAATTATTCTATTAAAATTTATAGGAACCGGATGCCATCTAAAAAATTTACAGAAACTGGTTATAGCAAAAAGTGCAACTAATTTTTATTATTATGGTATAATGTAATATATTTATAATATATGAAACGATTCTCTTCTTTTTTTGAAAAATATGTTGATGATTACCTGCGCAACTCCGCCTGGCCTAACATAAGCTGCGTGTAACCTGGCCCCTGATGCTCTTTCGTAGAATTCCATTAGCTAAATATTGGGAGAACGATTTTAATAAAATAGATATTTAATTTTTAGTAGGGTAGTACCGATATTAAATACCAGTATCGGATGGGAGCTAATATTAAACTTTTAGGAAAATTAACCGATACCGATTTTGTACATATTTTTTTACCATAAAAATTGTAAAAGAAGGTGCCCACTTTTTAAAAAAAGATTACCCTAAATTTTTGTGTATTTTTATTGCATCGTTTTTTATTAAGAAAGAGTTTATAGTAAATAAAAATCTTGCAAATTTAAATTTCATTAAACAAAGATATAAATATTTTATCTCCGAAATATTAATTTTATATTTCAATATTTTATTAATTGATATTTATATTTAATTTGTTTTTACTTTTTATTCAATTAAAGGATGCATATTTGTTATACAGAAAATTTAATATGAATATAATATATATAATGTGCTAGCATTATAGCAAATTAATTTATATTCTTATTTGTATTAATGTTAAAATAGATAGGGGAAAATTCTGATCATCATTATTATACGTATATATAATTATTATTTAAGGGCTATATATTAATAAATTAAGCATTATTTCCTACTAATATATCTTATAATTACAAACCTTTATACAAATTTAAAGATAAAACAGATTTTTATAATTGTAAAGCTTCGAGACTTTTTTTGATTCTTAAGAATCGGTCGGGATAAGTTAAGATTCTGAGTTTCTTAAAAAAAATTTCACAGATTTTTATTATTCCATTATCTTATATGATAAAATAATGACAAAAAAATCAATGTAAATATCGGTATCTGTTCCCCTTGAAATAAATATCGGCAAATCATAGATATGTAAAAAAATTGTGGATCAATGTAGACCTAATTTTTAGGCATAAAAAAAATAACAGATTACCGGCCTTCATTTATAAATATGTTTATAACTTGGCGATTTAGAGGTATAATTTTTTTTACAAACTAGAAAGTTTAATGATTTAATGTAATTAATAAACAGTTTAATTTATTAGAAATGACTGAAAGTAACTATATTTAAAGCAAAAATGATAATAAAAAATATATATTAGGTCATGTTAACCTTTTCTCTTTCTTCGAAAAGCCAAAAGAAGGGGGTCATAGCGCCTAAATCCAGTGCATGTGTGGTGATACCCATAATGTGGTTCTTTATACGAGTAATTTCGCCAAATAAAACTTTTTTTGTTAATAAAAATGTTTGAAGAAATAGGCAAAATAAAATCGTTTATAATCTTGATGCAGTGCAATGCGAATAAATACGGATATCGGTATCACCTAAATATATATTCTTTTTTTTTAAAAAAAAAGGAACTAAACTTATCCCCTGATATAATTTGAGGATTAATAATAACTAACCATAATTTCGCATATTCAAATATTGCTAGAAGTAAAGCCAAAAAGCGGTACAAAATATTGTCAAATTTGAATATTTTGAGCATTTTGCACAATTAAAAAATTTGGCTTTTTAGTTGTATTAATTCCAAGAAAATTACCTTATTTAAGGGGGTGTATGTATAGTGATATATGGAATCCGTGAAAATTCAAAATTTCTCAATTTTGAAATTTACTAAACGAGATTTTTTAATTTAAAAAAAATCTGATTTGACAAGAATTGTCAAGTTTGTATGGGGTATTCAAACTGTAAATTTCAAGAAATCTTTGCCATAAACTTTAGAACTACTCCTAATCTATATTAATTTTTCATTATAAATTAAAAAATAAAAATACTAAAAATTTTATGATGAAAATTGTCTGAAACTCATAGGGTAAATACTCTACACATGCTAAATAAATTACATTTCCGATTAAATCGAATTTTAAATTTTTTTAAATCGCTCTAGATAAATTATTTAGACTCCAGACGCCGAATACCTTATTCGATATATATCCCAATAAGACATATGTAAAAATTATTATATTATTGGTAATAAGCAGGGATGCGAACCTGAACCCGGACCCTGAACTCTCGTATTTTGGCCGAACTCGAACCCTTTTTAAAAGTGGAGGGTCCAAGGGTTCTAGGTGTCATAAAAAATTTTAAAAATAATATAAATTTTTTTTGTGGAATTATTAATTTTATCTTCGCGTTTTTCTTTAAATTTTCTTCCTGGACTTCCATTTTATTTAGAGATTGATATCATTAGTGTAGGTAATAATATTTTAATTTAAATGATAATGCACAACACGTTGGTCCTCAATTTGTATGATGCTAAAACGATTAAGTTTGAAAGATTTGTAACGATTTTATTATAGGAGCATGTGAAGTCATTTTGTCGGAAGATGATTAATACCAAATAAAGGACCTTATAAGATTACAATCAGAACAATTATGTTTATTTGATTTTTATGGCATATGGATTAGATGCCGATTAGATTTAGAAAATTTTACAGTCCTTTTTATATGAAATATTAGAAAACATGAAAATTCGAGGCAACAAAATTTGCAAAATAGTGTTGTATACGCTTCTATATATTTAGACCCTCAATATCAAGTTTTATTGAGTATTGAACAAAAACAAATGGCTAATGACCATCTTAAGGATTTATGGCATACGTAAAACTCCATGATAGCAACATTGATGATCTTGAAATTTTACTTTTGAAAAAAAATAACAAATTATCATCAGATAGAAAGGAGGATCAAAAAATGTCTATTGCATCTTTAATAGTAAAGTTCTCAGAAGTTAAGAGAATAAATAAGGATATAAATATTTTAAAATTCTGGGAAGAAAATTCTTCAATATATCCAGAATTATATATATTATCTAGAATTTTCATGAATGTACCGGCGACACAAGTACAATAATTTTATAAAGATAACTATCTATTTAGTAAGAGTAGAACGTGTATTTTCATCTTTGAAATATATATTGTCTACTTTACGTGGAAATCTCAAGAATGATATTTTAGAAGATATTATGATTGTGCGTATGAATAAAACATTTAAAATATAAATTATTTCATTTTTAAATTTTCCATTTGTAAATTATGAATATGTATATATTGAAGTATTATAATAATAAATGAAAGAAAAAAAATCTTATTTTGAGTCATTATTTTTATGTTCCCTGAACCCGGACCCGGGTCCTTTTCAAATTTATTCCTGTACCCGAACCCGGACCTGGAACCTTTTTTTTGCCGAAGGGTTCACATCTCTGGTAATAAGCTATCCTATAAAATCATTTATAATTAACACCAACCTCTCAATTTATCAAAGGCTCTTGGTATGGCCTGAAAATATTGATTGAATCCTTTTATATTCTATTGACTAATCCTGGTTGGTATCGGTCTACACAACACATGTTTACGGTATTTTAAATGCACCCTCATAAAAATACCCCATTTTAGAAGAAAAACATTAAATTTTAGAATCAAATAATGATTTGATTTTATTATTCGCATTCATTTGATTTATACAAATAGTAAGTATGAATCGGACGCCAACAACTTATTATTATATTTTATATTTGTGCAGGCCCACTACAAAGTAAAACATACTGTACATTCTTACCCCTGATCCATTTGGCCCTCTCCGGTATATTTATTCCCAATAATTTTTCGATGGCGAGAGAAAAGCATTGTTCGTTGCACATCATACTTACGTAATCGAGTCTGTCAAAATAGGGCAGAGCTTGAAGGTAGGTTTTGTATTCTATAAGCTTTTCAGTTCCCCGGTGAAGGTAGCCTATGTGAGGGTCGGCTTTTTTAACGGTCTTTGGGTGTAAATAATTTAGTGGAGTATAAAAATTTTTAAGTATATATATATTTTTTTAAAAGGAGCAAAATTTAGGGCAAGTGTAAGAACTCCCAGGGAAAAATCCTCAATTTTTTTATGAGGGGGTAGGGGGGGGCAGGAAGGGTTGTTTTTGATAATTTTATATTATTAGAGAATAGGAAGAATTATCTTCCTTCAAAATTTATGGAATATCTAAAATTTAAAAAAAAATAAACAAATTGCTTTAAATTAAACACGAACGAATTTTCTGTTGCTCTCAATTCTACATTATTTAATAGACGTTCGTTTTCTGCAATAAAATGTATCAAAACTTATGTACGTCAACTATAGGACAGGAAGGATGAAGTGGTTTTTTATGTGCATCAAGAAAAAAAAAGAATTATAGCATAATTATTTTTACCTGATCCCAAAATGATATTTATGAAAACAGTCAAATTTGCGATGGGGGGGGGATTTCCCCCCCCCCATTGGTTACGCGCCTGGCACATTTTTTATGCCCCATAATTTTATATGACGAAACACGTCATAAGTCAAATTAATTGCTTTAAAAACTTTGGCCTAGCCCGTTAAAATATTTTGCACAATTTGTCCAACCTACCCTAAATTTTGCTCAGCCTAACAGGCATGGTTGCATCTATCTCTATTGTGGATTGTAGAAAAAAAGAGTAGAAATTGTTATGGGGTAGGATTGAAAATGGCAAATTCGCCCATTCTATTATTTCTGGGAAGAGATATGAAAGGAGATATCATAGTAAAAGTTAGAATTACAAAAGACACATTAGAAATCCGGATGGATATTATTCAAAACTAAACCAGATGAATACATAAAGGAAACTAATTTAATGCAGGTGGAAGTGAAAAATTAGAGATATATAAAACCGGATTGAAATGGTTTCACATTGGTATATAAAAACTAGTTTGTAGGCATGATATTTTATTGTGAAGAACTTTGTATTATTTGGTTTTATCTGAAGATATGGAATTAAAAAAATGGGACAAATTATGTTTACTCCTTTGTGATGAAAGACAAAAGTAACAGAGAATACCACCTCAAAATTATGGTCAGATAATATAGGCTTAATCAGAGGCAGACTGGCTGAAAGACTACGTGAGCCTTTTGCCCACGAGGCCGCAAAAAAATGTCAATTTTTGAGGCAGATCAGGAAAAAAAAATGAAAAATGAAACAGATCAAAACAATAAATAAATGTATTAATCTTTTATCATAAGAAATGGAGATACATATATTTTATATATTAAAAGTTATTTTTATTATATTTCCTTTTTTTAGAATAAATAATATCATGGTAATATATTTTCATTTAGATATTGCTGAGTAAGACCATAATAAAAACTTGGCAATCTTGTAAATAAAAATTGAAATGATGGGAATTTCCTAAGATGATAAGAATTAAAAGCTATTATTTTCAGGATAAGACGTAGAAAATGACGGCTTAAGTTTTCCAATAAAAGGGGAAGAGATTTTCTAATAAATCTAATGTCAAAGACAACCATTAATATAAGTATGCTATTCTAGGTAAAATTAAAAAATTTAATTTTAAAAAAGAAGATAAGTCGGGCTGTGTTCTAACATTAAATATGGGATCGGATCGGCACCGATATTTAGCGCTATTAAAAAATATAGAATCGGGCCGATACCTATAAAAAACAGATCCGATCCTATCATTTTACTTTTTTTGCTTATTATGTTATATATATTTTTATTATATAGTTTATTTTACATTATTATAATATTTCAAAAGACTTTTTATTTATTTTTATAAAAATTGAAGGATTCTAAATCTTTTTTAAAAAATTCTAAATAATTTTTAAAACAATGGAAATGCACAACACCCCCTAAATTTTATTTATTTAAATTGAAAATCTGAAGAATTTTGAGACACTTCGTTTAAATGATTTTGAGATCGGGTCGTAGTCATTATAATTTATTATCAAAATTTATTGTTTAACAAAATAACTAAAATAATTATTATCAAAATTTTACAAAACTAAAAAAGTTTATATTAATAAAGATTTTCAAAATTATTTTACAGAAAAAAATAAAGTGTATGGAAACTATAAAAAATTCGTCCCTTTTATAGGGAAAATAAAAGGCGCAATTATAAATTAAAATTAAATTGGCGCAAAGTGAAATAAAAGAACGTTTACGTGGAAACGAGTTGTGTTAGTTTTATCGTACGTACATAATTGGGGATAAAACCTACCCCCCATACTTCCCGAAATTCAAAATATACCTTGGGATGCAGGGTGGTCTCCCGGACCCAACGGTCTAACTCATATTTTCGGATCACCTTACTGAGGACTCCTAAAGTAAGAAATCCAGTAAAGTGAGAGAAAACACAAAAGCCATATGTTTTACTTACACTGTGTTTAACTTAAAACAAGAGAGGGACCAAAAAGATAAACCTTTTTTAACTTTCATTTTATTGTAAACAAAGGAGGGGTATTAAAAAACTTTATTTAATTTTAACATAAACAAAAGAGGGGGATAAAAAACACTTTTTCATCTTAACCATAATAAAAGAGGGGGAAAAAAACTTATTTTTTCATCTTTAACAAATTCAAAGAGTAGTAACAAATAAAATAATTGAATTCGATAGTAATGTAGATGACCTGCCATACTTGAAGGAAATCAAGAAATATTTAAAGGAATCTTTATATCTAGACGGTATAATAACATATTTTTCATATCATATTCTATCTAGTATTGCTTGGTTGGGTTATGATTGGCCTGTTTGGGTGGTATCTGATTATTGTTCAAACCCAAAAAAGGTTGGGTTTGTATGAAACCCACTATTTTAAAAATGGTAATTTATGTGTTTATTTAGATAACTCTAATAAGATTGATATTATATCCCCTATGGATCCACTTGAATATTGGAGAATTAATGAAAAGTATCCATTGTCAAAACTTGCATGTAAATTTTTGGAACCTCCTGCAACAAGTGTCCCATCTGAGTCTATCTTAAGTATGGCTCCTCATATCGTAGAAGCTTATTGCCAGAAAATCTAGAGGCTCTCATATTTATTTTAAAAAATCTAATATATTATAATTTTATATATTAAATATTACAATTTTATAATTCATATCAACATATTATATATTATTCAAAATAAAATGGATATATTATTAAAAAATTATAGTCTTAATTGTAGAAATAAAAATATTAAAATAAAATTAAATGCATAATTCTATTTTGTGTATAGAAAATATGGATTTTTTAATTACATTTGGTTGAAAGGGAGATGGTAAAAAAATATAAATATTGGATTGGTTTTGAATCAATATCGAAAATATCGATAAAAAAATATGTGGATCGACCTAGCCCTAAAAATGATTAACAAGAGAAATAGTTTGCAAATATATAATACACAAGATAACAGCTGATCTGGCGGATCAGATAAAAGAATGGATGCTCTATCCTTTTAAATAATTCAGTTAGCCAAAGTAAGAGGCAAAGGCTTTAAAAATTAGTGAAATAAGGTGAGAGACACATGAGTTACTAGAGTCTGTTATAATATGCTACAGTATATAATTAAATAATCGTTTGAGGCGAAAACCTTATCAGTAGCTAAATTTTTTGAAATAATTAGGCAGCTTTCATTATATCTTTGAGCAATAATTTATATATTTTATTACCAGGAAAATGTTCTAAGGTACCAATTCTTCTAATAACCTTTACATGCTTTCAAAATAATACTATAAAAATTATTTCAAATTTAAATTAAAAGATTTCTGATTTAAATTTATCAGATAGCATTTGGGCACAAAATGAAATGCTAAAAAAAGAACAAGGAGCATGCACAGCAATGAATGCAAAAATGCATATACACAGATCATTTTGATCTTTATGGAAGTATTTTTTCTAATGATCAATTTATATAGTTTAACCACAACAGTTTTTGGTGAACAAAGAACTATAATTAATGTACAATATTTGTATCTGAAGCATTTTGATGAAATAAATATCAACGATATTTTTGAAAAACCCTTGGAGGTTTCACAATTGAAAAATGTTTATGTAAAAAATTATGATGTCAATTCCCTGTATTTACAGAAATTCAATAGTTGGGGTCAAATGAAACTAATTAAATATAACTTGTGGTAATTAAATAACACAAGATAATAATTACTAAACCAAGTGCAATAACAAGTGTAATCAATACTTAATATATGTCATGAGATTCTTCAGTTCTATAATATGGACACTACCAGGGTTGGGCACATTATTTGAAAAGTTAATAGTAATTGTTATTCAATGAAGAAATATAACAGGAGTTATCACCTTTACTTTGGCTATTAGATTTTAAATGTGCATTTCTAAAAATAAAATGTGGTTATCAGGTTGTAATAATGTTTTTCTTATTTAAAACGTAATAACTACAATAGTTAACTCATTGTTTTATATATGTTTTTATCCAAAAATAGAATAGCTGCATAGTTAACCTATCATTTTATATATGTTTTTATGCAAAAATAGAAGAAATATTCATGTATAATAGGAATAAGCTATTAAAGAAAGCTCGGCCAAAACCAGGTGAAAGTGGACCAAAAGTATATTAAAGGTTGGGAGGAGGCAAAGCCCCCTTTAAAAACAATGCTATAAAAAAATTCACATGAGACCACAGCATTGTCAGTTAGACATAGGGCTTTCTGGATATGATTTACAATAAAAAATTACAAAAAATGTGATAAATGCATCTTTGTAATTCCTACTTTTAAAAATTTGAAAAACTAAATTTGAGAATCTGGCAGGTCTAATATAAGCCATCAATTGAAAATTCATGTTTTGCTTATTTTCTAAATTTATGATTATGTAATGCAGCTTATAAAATATAATCTAAAAATATTTTATTCATAATTTTACTTCAGCATCAAGCTGTAATATTAGTCTGAGGACACCATGGGCAGCTGGATGTTGAGGTCCAAAATTAAGCTGCATCGTTTTAATATTCATTTCTGGAGCTGGTTTGGATACTAACAATTTATAACATTGATATAGCATTCAAAATTTATTTATTATATAACTTCAAACTCAAGTTTAAAACTCATCCTTTATAAAACTTCATAAAATATATATAAAAATATCTCATATAAGAAATTTAATTAGAAAAGTTTAAATTAAAAATGATAATCTACGGAATGGAATAGGAGGTTTCCATCTTGTATCAAAATCATCTGGAAATAAGGAGGGTCCAACATAACTTTCAAACCATTTGGCGTCAGGAAACCATTGATGTGCATATCGTGTACTAAGAAAAATTATTTTTATTTAACTTATATAAAAACTTAAATCTTTGGACTTTAAATAATTTGAATAATTTAAGCATTCGTCAAGCCAAATCATAAAAATCACATGGGGAGGGGAAACTTTGAAATCGAAATATAAATCCCGAAAATTATAATCAAAAAATTAATGCTAAATAATAACCATTACAAATATTTATACGGCCCTTCATTATAAATTTACCTGTTTTTATAAATATCATTTATAGAAAATAATAAGTTTCCCACTACACAGTACCTAATATGTATAAAATACATCTATTTAAAAAGAAGTTGAGTGAAAAATTAATAAAAGATAATTACATTTTAAAATAATGACTATAATTAAATTTTTAGAAAAAAAGTAGTTAAATGAAAATCCAGAATTATTTTTATAAATGTCTGATATAGCAAAAGTCATACAATAAGTGGGACTAAAGTAATATTTATAAGCAAAAACGCACATAAATCCCCCTCCCCTTATCAATCCTGGATACGCCTATGGCTTGATAAATAAGACGCATAATATATATTTGATTTTTATAAAAAAAACAAAAACGCAGCATAACAAAAGCCATGCTAATTTCCTGCTACGGTTATCCCAAACCAGGTAAATTTAGATTCTTGGAGTTTAATATTCTGCATGGAGTTACGATAAAATTTAATAGCAGGATAATTTATTGCTGAAAGGATATTTATATTTGATGGGGTTAAATAAATTAATAATTTATAACTACAAACACCAGTTTTATGTATATGCTTGATTTTACAGATAAGCTCCTAGACTTCAGGGAAATTTTTATCAGCTGGGCCATTCCACGTCAAATTGATCACAATTCGGCCGACCCCTTTTAAAATTGTTAAAAAAATTTGGAATTATTTAGATAGGTAAAAAAATAAGAAAGTCGTTTATTTTAGATAGCTAGCACACCTGGTTTTTGAGATGTAAGGGCGGTACAAAAAAAGAACCACTTAGGAATTTTTAAAATTTTAAAATGCTTATATCTCAAAAACTATTTATAGTAAAAAAATATATAATATATCATATTGTAGATAAAAGCAATCTCTAAAGGGCTATCAAAATACAATAAATATTGGTGCCAATTTGAGCCTTTAATGCCTATATTACTTTACCTGTGTTTTTAGGCAAAAAGAGGAGTTTGTTTTCGAAATTTATATTTTGCTTTTTATTTAGACACCTTTTATAAATATATATATGATATCAATAAAAGGTGTCTAAATAAAAAGCATTGACATAATTTCCCATAAAGATCTATTTTTATGAATAAGATTATTAAATACCCCTTTTTATAAATATTTCCCTTCTTTATAAATATTTATTTTGCTTAATCATTTTTAATATCAAAAAATTGTTTAATTTTATTGTTTAATTTTATTGTTTAATTTTTATATCTGCAAGAAAAAGCAAAGCATAAAATGTGACCTTGTCATCATTAGTGTAGTAGTATTGATATTGAGAATAATTCCGCTGTGATGCTTCAATCAGATCTGTGTTATTATTGTTTTAAAATATTTCTTTTGTAACAAAATAGCAAATTTACCCTTCACTCAAAATTAACAAAAGAATTTGTGTTAATCATAAATTTAAACAATATTAATTATATTCAAACTCACTATCAATAACTTTTTTTTAATTTTAAACCATTTGATCTTTTGAATTTCGCTCATTTAAATACAAATTTAAAATAAAATTCTCTAAATTCAAACTTTGTTACGTTATTTTTTAGGGAATATTAAATAATGCTCCTTTTATTGCAAATTCTTCCACAATATAAAATTTAAAAAATCTTTTAACTCAATCTTTCTTAACCACGAATTTGAGGGAATACATTAATATTCTCCCGATCCCATACTAAATTAAATCTGATTCTATAGATTACATAACTTTAAGTTTATTTTATCCACATTCTAGCTCATCTACCATAATTCTATTTTAATCGGACCACTTTTTCTACTATAATGACCAATATTCTTTATAAAAAAAATCACCCTTTATTTTCTAATCTAAAAATTAATTTCGAAAATAAAACTTATTACCACTATTTAAGAAAATCGTAATATTGTGGGTAGGCAAGGGACCTATCTGATTGTATAAAACTCTCTTCAGAGACCATGCTGTGTAGTCTGTCTCTGCGAAAACAGCTGAAGGGGAGTTGCTTTTGAATTAAGAAATATGCAAAATTCACTCCAATCAACCATTAGTATATATATTTTGTAAAAAAACGTTATTTGCATAAAATTATTAACAATAGATATTTTAAATATGGTTTAAATTAATTAAAAACTAAATTCAGTGAAAACCTGAGAAACTATAAATTATTCCCAATATTCTATTCCTGTCAACGATAAATGAAAAGATTTTTATACGATGGTCACTGAGGCCGTCTAAAGAGCGACTGTGTATGAAGATGATTATGAGAAATAACTTGTTAGTTACGATGACGAATATTATACTCCCTCAAGACGAGGAATAGAAATTGAAAGGGGGTATGCCGGATAGATGTAATTATTCACACTCTTACATGAAGACCAGATCATTCAGGTGACTTAGATCCCAATAGGCATAGCCATCAATTATAGGTGTGGTTTTTTCCCCCATAAAATTTATTGGAGGTTTTGAAGTCCATTTATATTAGGCCTTTCCCTCTTTTATAAAAATAATTGAGGGTTTTCTTATATTTTTTTATTTTTTTTATAAAAATTTTGAATTATAGTCATTATTATTTAACTGAAAAAAATATAAATTCTTTTTTATATTTATATATAGTTTATATTGGGGGGGGGGGGGGTTATAGGTGGGAAATTTTTCTTAGCTTAAATATATTTACGAGAACAGAAAATTTCCGAGGAAGATTTCCTTAGCTTCTCCCATAAATAGTCTAGATATCCCTACATATCAACTTAGATTTCTAGAATATGTGCATGATTATCTGGTTATGTATTAATATAATTAATGATTGCTGTTACAAATATTATATTGGTATTATTTATATAAATGATATTTAATTTATGATTATGAACTTGATCCTAAGTATTCTCTCCAAAAAACTCTTAGCAACTGCAAAAATCATTAGATTTAAAAAATACTTTTTTAATTTAAGCAATTGATTAGAACTTGAATGCCTTGCCCAATCTAATATAATTACAATGGTATATAAAATTTTTAGTTTGATGACAATCTCGCTATAGAGCTATGTCGCCTATGTGACATTCCGTTAAAACATCAATCAGATCTTTTCCTAGAGCATTGGATAATTGTAAAATATTTTTGCTGACTTTAATTTTGAATAGACTGTTTGTTTTGGGGTGATAGGGACAATATTCTCTTTCAAAAATTGAATTCAAAATGTTAACCATTGTTGCAACATCGTCATATTTAGTACGATGCTGCCAAATAAATAACAAATGTCTCCTAAAATATATGTATCAAATTTTTACATATTAAATCTAGAAACTCTAAAAATAACGTTGATTATCACATTTATATCTTTTAATCGTTTTTATATGTGTAACGATCCCTTTATGTTTTAGCAAAAATATTAGGCGAAGAATGAGACATCCCAATCTGATAAAGGTTTACCTATTAAACGTATTTTCATCAGATGGCAAAATGTTTTACACCTACCAAGCAAATTTCTATCCTTTATGAATATTTCATTTATCAAACTTAATCCTCTTTTAACTTCGGCATTCAGAGGCTAGTTAGAGCCTCACTCTCTCCCCATAAAAAAAGATTAGGTAAATTGTGTTTTCGCGATACTTTTTTAATAATATCTAGACGAAAATTTTTTTTTATTTTCCATAATTTAGGTTCAGAAATTTAAAAATCTTTTATTGGATATTTTAAGGCCACAGACCAAACAAAAATCAATTTATTGGAAGCCCATCAAACCCAGGATAATTAGGCTTTTAAAAGTTTTCGATTGTTCCTTCTAACAAAGTTTCTGCTAAATAGAGTTTAAAAGTCCCTAACCCAAATTTGGATCCAGGACCCTAATAAAACCCAATACTAAATTTTATATTTCTTTAAAATCATCTACTAAAATTCTTCTATTTAAAATATTACGTGAAAAAATCTCAAAAGTCAGTGAATATTTAAATTTTTAATCAATTTTTAAAATAAAAAAACTTTGTTACAAATTATTAAAATAATTGAAAAACGGGATGCTTCCCAAAGACTCCATAATTCGTATCGAATCAACGTATGAAATTTTCTATTTTCAAGTGCAACACACTTACTATTAATATGACTACACCAAACAATAGTTACACCTCACCTTGAGGGTAAAAAATTATCAATATATCATTTTCAATTTTAACTGTAGCTTAGTATCCCAAAGATGACACAAGTCTATACTTACCCTTTTATGCGTACATCATATTAATAGACCTGTGCGCAGATGTCCCAATGGCGGTTTTTAAATTTTTTATCGGGGTTCGGTGGCGCGCCAATTTCGCCACTGCCTACTAAATTGTCGGCGGCGGCGCAATATTTATTTAAAATTTTTTTTAATGATTTAATTTATAAATCAATTTATTTTTTAAGGAATTTAATTTATAAATTAATGTATTACATTTTTTATAATTTATTTGGGCGATCTTTTCTAACACATTGTTAACATAGTTTTATTGATCATAAATAATTTCCTGTCTCGCTCCAATTTAAATTTATGTATTTTCTCATTCTCAGAAATAGACTAAGGAATTGTATTTTTACTCAGATCAGAGTCACATCAACCAACACATATAAGAAATATTCTATTGATTTTTATTATAATTAAAATAAATTTGGAATGCAAGCAAAATATAATAAGTTCAAAATTAGCAAAATGATAATTGTCATGAATAAACACTAATCAAGATTTGTGGGACATAAAGAAATCTTTTTAGCATTGAGTATTAATTCAGCAATGGAAAAAATTCTTTTTCTGGGTGTACTGGTTGCAGGTATACAAAGAACCTTCCTAGCTAAATTAGCAAGCATAGGAAGTTCCAGTCGCCTTTTCTTACAAAGGATTAATGCATCCTCTTCTGGGATATTATTTTGGCTGAGCAAAATATGGCATTCTTGTTCTAGATTACTAATATTGTTATAATCGTTA